CCCACCATGTCCCCGCCACGTCCCCGCCACGTCCCCGCCGCGTCCCCGCCGCGTCCCAGGCACACTTGGGTTTGCTCGCACACCCGCCGAGCTCCTGTGCTCCAGTCCAAACTCCCTGGAATGAGTTCTCGTTTTGTCCCCATGCTCAGCACAGTCCCGGTGCTGGGGGGACACTGTCACTGGGGTCTAAGAAGCCACCAGCAGAACGAGCCCTCGGGGCCTCTCGCTGTCAGGCTCGTCTGTCCCGAGGCTGGGCTGGCAAAGCTGCTGGGACTGTGGCCAGTGCCGCTGGACAGTAGCGCGACCTCAGCTGTAGGCAGCTCTGGCGATAACTGTCAGGAATAAGTGTAGCCAGCCAGCCAGAGGTCAAGCTCAGCCAGCTGAAACCGGGGCAAGTGTCAGTCAGCAGGACACACTGCCCATCTGTGCGGCAGGTCACACTCTTCATCTGTCCCCTCCCTCTGGCCCTCACGTCTGCAGGACCGGCTGCGGGTGGGCTGCACCCTGCTGTGGGGTCTGCTCTCTAGAAAGATCCTCCTTCTGTTCCCTTCGATTCCAAATCGCCGGCCCAGCTCCTGTTCCTCACAGCTCCTGATGGAAGAGGTGACTCAACCACAGGTCACCAGGGAGAAAACGGACACAGAGGTTTTCTAGTTCGGAAAGTCCAGCCACGAGTGCGAGCGGCCCGCGAGCCCCAGGAAGGCCAGGCGCGGCCCCGCAGCCGGAGGCCAGCGGCCGGGCGTGTCCCCGTTGACATTTTACGTTGCGCTGGACACACGCGCTGCCTGCCTCTCTCGCTTCTCCCCAGGATGGCCTTGCGCGGAGCCCGCAGGCCGTGACGCGGCCACGCGTGTCTACTGACAGCCGGAGAACGTCTGTCCCTGAACAGACTGCCATTCTGTAGGCTTTTCTACCCAGTGCACTGTGAGTTTGGGACAGGTGGCGGGGAGCGTTCCATCCAAGCACTCCCGGAAGGTTTTCCCTCCCCAGACGTGCCTACTGGGCGACATCATCCAGGATGACCACGGCCCCGCGAGCCTGGGGGGTCCCTCGGCAGAGTCTGATGCAGTTTTGCTTTCTTCCTTCAAGACAGCTGGTGCGAGGCTGCTGTTCCTTCCAGTGACCGGCCTCTGAGGCTGAGGTGCACGGGGCCCTCATCGCGTGTGCCCGGAGCAGCCGCCGTGCCTGAGCCTGAGGAAGTTCCGGGCCTTTCCCCAGCGGGGCTGCTGCCCCGAACCGCTGCCTTCTGAGCCACACCTCACTTAGGACGTCGAACAGTCATGGGAGTCTCATTGGGGCCGCAGGGTTGTGACTCAGAGGGCCTTGTTTTCCTTCGATCCTTTAATTCTCAAGAGAATGGGATTGGGGGGTCAAGTCCCAACCTAAGCTCTTGAGCAGCCCGGTCCAGCGTCAGTGGCCCGTCCTACGATCCAAACGCCCAGCCGACAATTTCCAGTTACGTGTTGAGCTCCACGGAGAGTGTTTGGAAGGGAGGGGCGTGAAGAGTCCAGAGCTTTCCTCTCAGCTGACTCATAGCCGGTCACCTCCTCCGTCCCTGTCCTGCCTCACTAAGCTGTGCACCTCCTGGCACAGGACCAGGACCACGGCTTCCCCGGGAGGCAGTGAAGGACACAGATCTCACGCGGCCCGAATCATCGGGAACGAGTTGCTTTGCACTTTTCTCAAATTACCCTTTCTTTCTCCAAAATGCCGATCACAGGAAACTTAGCTAAGAATCTTTACGACATCCCCAATCCTGTGTCATCTTTTGTTATTGTTGCTTATTTTAGTATTAACTTTCGTTGTAGCACTTGTGATCTGCCAGGCATTGCTGGAAGCATGTCACGGATATTAAACGACCTCATCCCCACAAGACGCCCCGAAGAGGCAGGTGCTGTGACCATCTACCTGTACGGATGGAGCACCTGCCCTCGTCTCCCCCACACTGCGGAGGGATATTTTCGAGGATGTAGCCCTCTCGCGGGGCCTCCCCCCCATTTCAGCACCTTAGAGGTGTTTCTCCATCACCTTCGCTCGTGTCTGAAATGTGCCCGTGAAGGTACGCACACAGCAGGGCAGACCACCGGGGCGACATACACTTACATGGCTGTTGAGTAAACCGCTTTTGTGTGATGTGATCCCTTCGCTTTTTTGGAGGTTTTCAATCGCCATTTCAAGCTAAAGAAAATGTGTGCAGAAACAAAACAAAACAAAATGAAAAAAAAAAAAAGAGGAAATCAGATGGTTAGCATCAGCCAAGATTTGTTTTTATTAATATCCAAATAATGATTCAAGCGCCTACAAAATAAAAACCGGGAAGGAGCGGGCAGGGGAGGGGGTTAGTGGCGAGCTGAAGCTGTGGGGAGTGTTACTTAGTTACGTGCAGAGAGGAGCCAGGAGCCCAGGTGGCAGAATGAGGTTGCACTGAATGCAGAGTCTGCGTGTGCACGTAACACCAGCGGTAAGTTGCTGCATAAGTTCACGCGTAAGCAAAGCCAGCAGAATAATCTCCTGCTGCTTCCCACACCTGTCGTCCGTTGCCAGCGTGAATCAGGTGACCGACAGATCCCAAGGACAGTTGCTGGCACTGACTTCCCGGCCAGGCCATCCTGTCACAGAGCCCAGGGTCTCCCTCCTGGATGCTTCGGGAAAATACCAAGGTGGCCAAAGACCCAGGCTCCGCCATCAGAGGAGGAAGCCCTGGGGCTGCTGGACATGTCAGAGATAAGTTCCTGAATGTTTATGAAGCATGAACTGTGCAAAGAAGTCATATGGAAATGAGAATGAAGTCACAGGGGAAAGTCACGTGGAGCTATCAGGGAGGCCTTCCTGGGCTAAGGGGCTTCTGAACTGGGTTCTAAGGTCCTCATGGAGGCGAAGAGCTGAGGTGGTGCCACAGGTCTATGCAAAGGAAGAAACGCCCAGCTGTGTGTGGCTACCACCTCGTTCGTATGCGCTGACTCGACCCTGACTTGTACGTGAAGAATGAAAATTCATACTCTGCGGCCCATCACTGCAGGGAGAAAACCACAGTGGAAGAAAATAAGCCCAAAGCAGAAGCCGTCTGTCCTCAAACACCCAGGGAAGACAGAGGCTTCGGCGGCACCGAACACGTATCCAGGAAGCGCCCCTGGACTGGGCCACCCGGTGCCGAGTCCAGGAGCGAGAGCGTTACTGCTTCGCCCGTCGCCTCTCTGACCACTGTGTGTATGTCCACTCTTGTCACTTCTACTCAGCATTGTACGGTAAGTCCCGGCCAGGGCAGTTAGGCAACAGTCACCAAAAAAGGGTACCCAAAGGAAGAAGGAAATACCTCTCTTCACGGGTGACATGATCTTAAAAGTAGAAAATACTGAAGGATCCATTAAAAAAAAAAATTCACGCGCATCAATGAATTTGCAAAAGTTATAGGATACAAGATCAACACAGAAAAATAAATTACATTTCTAAGCAATTTCCTTAATTTCTAAGGAAATTAAGAAAACAGTCTCATTTACAATAGCATCAAAAGAATACATTTAACCAAAGAGGTGAGGTACCTGTACGCCGAAAACTATAAAACATTGTTGAAAGAAACTAAAGACAACCTAAATAAACCGAAAGGCATCCTATGTTCATGGATCGAAAGATTTAATATTGTTAACATAGCAATGCTCTCCAAACCTACAGACTCAATGCAATCTCTATCAAAATTCTCTATTAAACTTCCAACTGCTTTTTCAGAAATGGACAAGTTGATCCTAAAATTCATATGACATTGAAAGGGACCCCAAAGAGTCAAAACAATCTTGAAAGAGAAGAACAAAGTTGAAAGACTCACGCTTTCTGACTTCAAAACTTATTACACAGTAAGGTAACCAAAATGGCATAGTACTAGGATAAGATGTGTAGATCACTGGAATAGAATTGAGAGTCTAGAAGTTATCGCACCCATCTTTATGGTCAATTGATTTCGACAAAGGTGTCAAAACCATTCAATGGAGAAAGAATAAACTTTTCAACAAATGGGGCGGGGATAACTGGACAGCCACATGCAAAAGAACGAAGCTGGACCTTTACCCCATGCCATATACAAGAATCAACTCAAAATGGATCAAGGAACTAAGCGTAAGACCTAAAACTATAAAGCTCCTAGAGGAAAACATGAGGTAATCATGTAAAACAAGGTTATCTTCATGACGTTGGCTTTGGCAATCCCATCAAGACCTTAGATATGGCCCGAAAGCACAAACGACATAAGAAAAGGAAAAAATCAAAGATAAATTGGACTTCATCAAAATTAAAAACTTACTGCATCAGAGGACACCATCAAGAGAGTGAAAAGAATTTCATACAATGGTACGACGTACTTGCAAATGATATATCTGATAAGGGTCTCGTATTCAGAATATATAAATAACTCTCACAACTCAACAACACAAAGACAAGTGACCCAAATAAAAAATGGGCAAAGGACTTAAATAGATGTGTCACCAATAAACACATGAAGAGATGTTCGATGTCTTTAATCATTAGGGAAATGCAGACTAAAACCACAGTGAGATGCCACTTCGCCCACCAGTATGGTTGTAAAAAAAACCAAAAAGGAAAGAAAAATACGTGTTGGTGAGGAGGCGGAGGAATCGGAACCCTCATACATCGACGGTAGACTGTAAAATGATTCAGCTGCTGTGGAAAAGTCCGGCAGTTTCTCAGAAAGTTAAACATAAACCTACTTAAACCATATAACCCAGAGATTCCGCTCTTAGGTATATACCCAAGATAATTGGAAGCAGGTGTTCGAACAAGAACTGGTACACAAATGTTCACAGCAGCATTACTCATAATGGCAAAAATGCAGAAAAACCGAAACATCGATCACAGATGAATGGATAAACGCAATGGTGTTTATGGTAGTCCATCCACACAAAGGAATATTACTCGGTCATGAAAAGGAGCGAGGCGCTGACACTCTCCACAACGCGGACGGACCCTGAACACGCAATGCTCAGTGAGAGAAGCCGGACACAGGGGCCACCTGGTGTGTGATTCCGTTTATGTGACATGTCCGGAACAGGCACGTCCGCAGAGACAAAAGCAGATTGGTTGCCAGGAGCTGGAGGAGGGGGAATGAGGGGTGACTGCTAATTGGGACAGGGTTTCCTTCTGGGGTGATGGAAATGTTCTGGAACTAGGTGGGGTAATGGTTGCACAATATTGCGAATGTACTAAATCCTATTGAATTGTACAGTTTTAAATGGTTAAAATGGTGAATTTTATGTTATGTGAATTTTACCTCAATAAAAAAATATACATCTGATTTAAAAATCCGTTAGTGTCTCTTGCAATTTGAATGGTTTTAACATCATACTCTAGTAACTGGGAAAGACTGATTCGCTGAGTTTGCAGATCTTCTAAATGTTGCCACATTTCATTTACAATATCGAAAAAATATCGCATTTTTAATATCGCATTTGTTAATATTGCTACCAACCTCCTCGGGAAGATACTGATTTTTGAAAACCTCTCTCTCTTTTTTTAGTTGAAAACATATTGGCAAAAAAAATCTGTCCATTGTTTTCCTGGCTACATCAGCCTCACCCGTTCATTTTTGAGAAAATGCGTGCCACCTCTCCAATCCAAATAATTATAATTTGTCTGTTATTCTATCACGCATGAATGGCATTTCATGAAAGAAGTGGCTAGTTCTGTTCATAACTCATCTGCACAGGAGCTTTTCCTCAAGATGGTCACCGTGTTTTGGCAGGCCACAGAAGAGCTGTTTGTCACACGGAATATTAAAAAGACGTGTACTCAAGGATTGCGATTTCATAAAGTTAATAATTGTTATGGCTTCATCGAGGACCTTCTCAAGTGAAACTGGTATTTGGTATTTATTTCTCTGTTCTTTTTCTTTTTTACTGTAAGCGCATGATGGTGAAGGATATAGGGACTTCTAGGAGCATGTGATGCCTCAGCCTCGATTCCTGCCTTGATTCGTGCCCACTTGTTTCAACGATGTTGATTTTGCCCAATCAGTGCAAGTGTCAACACTGGGGAAATGGCAATTAACGGGTTAACAGTATTATGAAAACAGTTTTGACCTCATGGAGCCCCTGAAAGGGTCTTAGGGACACCCAGAGGTTTGCTGGACATATTTAAGACCGATGGATAAAAAGTATGGCATTATGAGTATTGAAGGAAAGAATACAAATTAAGATTTGCAGTGTAAGACCATTCCCCAAAACCCGTAGTTATTAAATAGGATCCAGACAAGGCCACTGATACAGAGAATTAACGTACAGTGGAAATTCCCAAGGTGTTCGCTGTGTTTAAAATTAAAATGTTGCTTAAACATCTGCAGGCGATGAAGGCCAGGAAACCACTTCCAGCCTCAAATGCCAGATGAGAAGGTCCATGCCCAGAAATCCGGACTGACGGCGCAGTGCGCACGCGCATCCAGCAGAGGGCGCTGCGGCACCACGTCCCAGCACCGCGTGGGCAGTGCGTCCAGCATCTGCACACAAGGTCCAGCACACTTGACCTTGAAGTCCAGTGGCTTCCTTACAGACCTGACCAAGGGATTCTTATTGTACAAATACAAACGCCTTGATCAGTCCTCTTGGTGGCTGGAGAATATAGGGTTTAATCTTTAAACATGCTTAAAACAAACACTAATTTTATATCTGACTGTCATTTGTTATTTTAACATTTTTATCCAAGTGCTACATGCATGCACGGATGCACATGTCAATCAGCATGGAAGAGCCAAGGATGGACGCGGGGCTGCCCCATGCCCACCCCGGGGCCTGGCAGCTTTCCCTGACGTCATGTCTGTCTGCATCACATCTCGGTATTATGTACACCACTTGTGTATCTACTTCTTGACTTATCAGGCGCTTCATCTTTATTTTTGATTTGGTGCGATGCCGTATGTATTCTTCTTGATTGGCTATTTAACATAATTTGTTTTCACTACATGATTAACAGAATGCCTGCTTTAACAGCTTATTCTGAAGGACAGAAAATGCATAACAACTTGCGATCGAAGATACAGTGTCTCAAGACACTATATCTCAGACAGCAGACCAGTTTTAATAGCTCTCAAGTATATTAAAATTAGCCAATATTTTAAAACTTTTAAAAGAAATTTAAAAAATTCCTTTCCTTTCATGTACAATCCTAGCATGATTTTACCAGACTTAAGGGCTATATTCCTGCCTTCTCCAAGTTCACTGTGTCTACCCAGATGGCCATTCCATTTGTACCATAATAACCTCATTAAGAGGACCCGCGACACGGGCTTTGCCCCTGCCAAGGGCCAGTGATGACCACTGTGGAAGCAACACCCGCCTCTGCAGGCCAGTTCTGGCGTAATTTGATATCGAGACCACGCCTCCTGGGACAAGGGTGTTCCCTGGAAGGAATGGGGAAAAGTGGGGACCCTCTGTCCTAAAACACAGCTTATGTGACCGCAGGAGGAAGAAATAAAAGTTTAAATGTATGAGCGACTCTTTGGGATCTTCAAAGAAAATAGAGAGTATTTTAAAAGAAGGAAAGCAGCACATCTGGAATTTTGAGGGCAGGGACATAAATCATAGAATTACGCATGGAGAAAGGGCCAGGTAGGAAGATGGGGAGAACGGTGGGCTCACCGCTGGGGAGAGGGGGAGGCTGGCTTAGGGAAATAAGGCATCGTTAATGTTTGCCCATCTTTATTTTGCTAATTAAATATTTTAAAATTATGTAATATTACACGTGCGTGCTGCACATAAATCTGATTAGGTCAGAGGGATGTCAGGACTGGGGCAGGGCCAAAGGGGGTGCAGGAGCAAAACCTGGGGGGCTCGTGCCCACGGCCCTGCCAGGGCGGGCTAGCCCCTCGAGGGGAGCCCCCCTTAAATTTAGGGCCCTGGGCACTTTGCCCTTTACACTGTGTCACGGAGGTTCCGCTTGGGCAGAAATGACCAGAGGAAGCGTCTCCGTCTAGCGTCTCCGCTCCACGTCGTTAAGAAGTAAAATGCAACCAGGAGAAGTTTTCATCAGAAACTCATCACTTGGGCAATTCGCTCTTAAGATTTATAATGCTGATGATAATTTAATCAGATATGAAGCCTCAAGAAAATGTGTCGCCATGTCTGAAATCATGCGGTGAGGCCGTAGGAAGCAATGAGCCCTCGAGCCTGGGAACAAGGCGAGGACGTCCGCGCTTGCCCAGGTCTTCATGCCCCTTTCAAGATTAACTCAAGGTCCCAAGACCGATGCCAAACGCCAGGGTGTACTTCATTTTCACGCAGCCTCAGGGCTGTTTCCATTCTCGGCTCCCGGAAAGTCCCTCGGATCTCTGCTGCGTCCTTGTGAGATATTCCCACACCAAAAACAAGATGACAGACAACAGAGCAGGGGCAGTTAGGGATCAAATCCTCATTCGAGGTGAGACTCCTCAGGGGCTTTCATGGGCGCACGCGCGTGTGTGTGTGTGAACACGGCCCCTTCGTGGATTTCCAATTGATTTAAAAACTTGATTCTTGAAAAGCAACCGACAACAAACCACAGCAGACAGGCGACTGGGGTCTGAGCTGCACATTTGCCTGCAACCAGGACGGTCAGGACCAGAGAGAACACCGCCGTTTTTCAGTAAATTTGTTGCCTGTGATCCTAGTATTTTCTGCTATTACGAATTGATGTAGTTTGCTAGCAAGGAACCTGTTGTATTCATGCAAGTTAATGAAGTCTGTGAAACACACTCTCTGATCCATAACAGCTCTAAACCTAGGTCCGCCCAGCCAATCCTCGGAGGGAGAAGCGTGTCTGGTCTCTGTGGCCGCTCAGCCTGTGAGCCGATGGCACTAAAAGGACCAGGAGCGGCGAGGTACAATCTGGAGCACCTCGGATCAAGCAGCAGGCACCGTCCCACATGTTGTGGCCTCCGGGAAGCAAGCAACTTCTTTCCAGGCCTGTCCTTGGAGCCAGGTCCTGGGGAGCACTCTGGACACGGAAAGACCCGGGGAGCCTCTCAGATATCAGGGTGACCCCGAAAAACACCAAAAAGAACAGGGATGAGGCAGAACATCACCTTCTATTTCAAGAGATTAGCGCCAAACCAAAATAGGAAGCCTTTTCTAATGGTCTAAGAAAAACCCAAGATCACATCAATGAAGAAAAAGTGTTTGATGAAACGCAACATCCATTTAAGATACAGACTCTCAGAAAACTAGGAATAAAAGGGAACTTCCTCCAGCAGAAAAAGGGCGCTTATGAAAACCTACAGCTAACATCATACTTAGCAATGACAGGCTGAAAGCTTTGCCCCTAAGGCTGGGAACAAGGCAAGGATGTCCACACTCACCACTCCTATTCGACAGAGTATGAGAGGTCTTGCTGGTGCAAAGAGGCAAGGAAAAGAAATAAAAGTCATCCAGACTAGAAAGGAAGAAATAAAACTGTTCCTATTTGCAGACAACAAAAGCTCTTAGAACTAAAGAGTTCCACAAGGTTGCAAGATGCAAGGTCAACAGCCAAAAATCAACCGTATTTTCACATACTAGCAACGAACAGTTAGAAACTGATATTAAAAATCAATACCATTTACGATGGCTCCACAAACATGAGATACGTAGGTATAAATCTAACAGAATACGTACAGGATCTGCCTGCTAAATATTACAAAATGCCGATGAATGAAATCGAAGATGATCCAAATAAGTGGGAAAGCATACCATATTCATGGAGCGGAAGACCGAAGTCAGTTTTCCCCCAAATGATCTGCAGGCTTTATGCTATTTAATCCAAATATTACTAGAAATTATTTTGTAGATATAAACTAAACTACAATTCATATAGAAATTTAGCTTCAACAATATCGAAGAATAATCAAGTTGGAGAATAAAGTAATTAAGACTGTGGTGCTGGCAAAGGGACTGACACATAGATCAGTGGAACAGGACGGAATGTCCTGAAGCAGACCCTCGCATGGCCAGTCGATTTTTGACAAAGGCGCAAAAGCAGTCCAGTGGAGGACGGGTAGTCTGTAACAAATTATGTTAGAACAACTGGTGGTTTAAATGCATAGAAATAAATCTCACTAAATTTTACTTCTTATACAAAAGTTATCTCAAAATGAAGCAGATCCAAACGTAAACTCCTTCAAGGAAAACAGCATTTCTTCATGATCTGGGGATAAGCAGAGTTCTCAGGCATGACATCCAAAGCATGCTCTTGTCCAAAAAGGCAAATCAGCATGTGAAAAGCGGCTTACCATCATTAGTGGTAAAGAAAGGTTTTGGGCGGCTGGGCAAAAAGGTGAAGGGAAGAAGCTGTAAAATTAGTAGTTACAGGAGAGTTGAGGGTTTAGAGATGGGCAGGGGGTACGGGGTTAATGTTCCTGGGCTGGCTGTGTGTCTGCCAGATGGCTGCTAGAGTAATGGGGGTCACTGCATAAATGTCTAACCCTCCTGCTGTGCACGTGAAACCAAGTAATGGACAAATGCAAATTAGAACCACAGGGAGACGCAGCTCACACACCGACCAGAGACCAGACCAGACGGCTCAAGTGGAAAACGCAGGACGAGGAGTGCTGGCGGCCAGGAGGAGGGACACGAACCACTGTACCTCTCCGGGGGCGTGATGCACACCGCCACTCGCCCCTGGGGAGACGCAGGTGACTTCTGACCAGGCCTAGCGCACGCCGGCCTCCTGCGGAGCCAGCAGCCCAGTCGCAGGTGCCTGTGCGCCCCAGGCCGCAGGCGGCGCTCCCAGCTGGAAACCGCGCCCGGGGGCCTCAGCCCGTGCGGCCGACGCGATTCGGTCACAAAGAAGGGGCACCGGCCATGCCGCGACCCGATGGCCTCAAGGGTGACACACTGAGTGAAAGCAGCCAGACTCGAAAGGTCATCCGTTCATGGGATAGTCCGGGGAAGGCGGACCCGCAGGGACCGGGAAGGGGTCAGCGGCGGTCAGGGCTGCGGGTGCGGGGGTCGTGACCCCGAACGAAACCCGGCGAGTTTGGGGCGCGGCGGCGGATCCACGAATCTGCACGTGCGCCAGCACTCGGGGGGCTGTATGCCCCCCAAGTCTGCTTCAGCCCGTGTTAACGCAAAGAAACGTGAACATGGAGACTAGAGCTCGGAGCTCCGTGTGGACGGACGGACCCACGCCGTTAAGAGGCTGACGACAGCCACCGCGGCGACCACGACGGCACCGCCGGCGCGCAGGGCTTTCGCTCATGCGCGGCGCTCACGAGAGCCCACGGCGGCCTTGCCCTTCCCCCCACCGAGGGCC